CCGCGTTCCTCCTCCTCCTCCTCCTCCTCCTCCTTCTCCTCTCCTCTCCTCCTCCCCCTCCTCCCTCCTCCTCCCTCCTCCTCCTCTTCCCTGCGTTTCACCCACCCAGTACAGCGTTTCGTAGCCCCATAGGGAGCTCCACCGAAGGCCCCAGTGCCACCGTCCACATGCGTCCCCCCCACTCAGTACAGCGTTGCGTGGCCCCATGGGGAGCTCCACCGAAGGCCCCAGTGCCACCGTCCACATGCGTCCCCCCAACTCAGTACAGCGTTTCGTGGCCCCATAGGGAGTTCTACCGAAGGCCCCAGTGCCACCGTCCACATGCGTCCCCCCACTCAGTACAGCGTTGCGTGGCCCCATGGGGAGCTCCACCGAAGGCCCCAGTGTCACCGTCCAACAACAGGGTCCCCACACCCAGTACAGCGTTTCGTAGCCCCATAGGGAGCTCCACCGAAGGCCCCAGTGCCACCGTCCACATGCGTCCCCCCACCAGTACAGCGTTTCGTGGCCCCATAGGGAGCTCCACCGAAGGCCCCAGTGCCACCGTCCACATGCGTCCCCCCCACTCAGTACAGCGTTTCGTGGCCCCATAGGGAGCTCCACCGAAGGCCCCAGTGCCACCGTCCACATGCGTCCCCCCCACTCAGTACAGCGCTTCGTGGCCCCATAGGGAGCTCCACCGAAGGCCCCAGTGCCACCGTCCACATGCCCCCCCACTCAGTACAGCGCTTCGTGGCCCCATAGGGAGCTCCACCGAAGGCCCCAGTGCCACCGTCCACATGCGTCCCCCCCACTCAGTACAGCGCTTCGTGGCCCCATAGGGAGCTCCACCGAGGGCCCCAGTGCCACCGTCCACATGCGCCCCCCCCACTCAGTACAGCGCTTCGTGGCCCCATAGGGAGCTCCACCGAAGGCCCCAGTGCCACCGTCCACATGCGTCCCCCCCACTCAGTACAGCGTTTCGTGGCCCATAGGGAGCTCCGAAGGCCCAGTGCCACCGTCCACATGCGTCCCCCCAACTCAGTACAGCGTTTCGTGGCCCCTAGGGAGTCCACCGAGGTCACAGTGCTACCGTCCACATGCGTCCCCCACTCAGTACAGCGTTGCGTGGCCCCATGGGGAGCTGGCCCCCACCGAGCGCCACTCAGTAGCCCCGACCGAAGGCCCCAGTGCCACCGTCCACATGCGTCCCCCCCACTCAGTACAGCGTTTCGTGGCCCCATAGGGAGCTCTACCGAAGGCCCCAGTGCCACCGTCCACATGCGTCCCCCCCACTCAGTACAGCGTTGCGTGGCCCCATAGGGAGTCCCACCGAAGGTCACAGTGCTACCGTCCACATGCGTCCCCCCCACTCAGTACAGCGTTGCGTGGCCACATAGGGAGCTCCACCGAAGGCCCCAGTCGGACCGTCCGAGTGCGTCCTGAAACACCCAATGTTGCATCTTCACCCACCCATTACAGCGTTTCGTGGCCCCACAGGGATCTCCACCGAAGGCCCCAGTGCCACCGTCCGCATGCGTCCCGCACACCCAACGTGGCATTTTCACCCACCCAGTGCAGCGTTTCGTGGCCCCACAGGGAGCTCCACCGAAGGCCCCAGTGGGACCGTCCGCAAGCGTCCCGAAACACCCATTGCAGCATTTTCATCCACCCAATCCAGAATTTCGTGGCCCCATAGGGAGCTCCACCGAAGGCCCCAGTGCCACCGTCCGCATGTGTCCCGAAAACCCAACGTGGCATTTTTACCCACCCAATGCAACGTTTCGTTGGCTCAGAGGTCCGCAGGGGCCGTAATGCTGCGGGTGCTGGCGCCCGGGACATATCACAGCATTCGTATGCGAGGAACGGGACCTTTGGGTCTTCAATGACAATAAGCAGACGTGGCAGTATGGGTACGCCAACGACTACAACAGGCATTTCAGCCGTTGGTGAACGCAGAGAAGGGGGCGAGACTGGTTCAACCAGTGCTGCGCCCCTACCTGCTCAAAAGATCAAGACAAAGTTTCAGATCCCGAACATTTGCGCTCACTTTTGATGCCGGGCGGTCTTCAGGCGCGAGATTCGTCAGTCTGCTTCGGCCCTCCTCAAAGGGAGCTCCAGCGGTAGTAGCTGGCACCCCGCCTTCGGCGCCGTAGAAGGTTTTGGGTGCTGGCGCTGGGGGTGCCCGGGGGGGAGGGGAGGGGCGAGAGACGAGAAGGACCTGGGCAGGGGCGAGAGACGAGAGGGATGGCGAGGGATCGAGGAGGAGGGGATGGGCGAAAGGCAAGGAGGAGGAGGAGGAGGAGGAGGAGGAGGAGGAGGAGGAGGAGGAGGAGGAGGAGGGGCGAAAGGACGAACAGGTTTTGGGGGGTCAAAGTGCACGGGGGTGCCGCGGGTCCGTGGGCTTCCGAGGGGAGCCCAAATCACGGACCTGCGCATATCCCGCAGCGGGGGGAGTTGCTCGGCATTTGCCCCTGCCGTCTCCGTGCCGCCGCCGCCGCCGCCCGCTGCCGTTGCACCACGCCGTGCCCCCGCAGCTGTGTACTCCAGATTTCGTGATAAAAGGGAGGGGGTCTGGACCCTCCAAGACAAGCCAGTTCAGACCTCCCCCGTGGGAGAACCCTCCAAAACATCGCCCCCAGACCCCCCAGGCCCTCCAAGATAGCCTGGAAGAGACCCCCCCCGAAATGAGACCCCCCTCCCTTTATTACGAAATCTGGAGTACATGTTCAAGCAGGCATCGCGGGCTTGCGATTGCACACGGAAAGGGGGGGTGCGTGCCGGTTCGTCGCCGTGTCGTCGTCCCCCCTTCCACTGGCACATCTTGTGCACTCTCAGAGTAGAAATTACCGGATATCGCCGCCATGTGCGATGAGTCCAGGAGCTGTGGTGATACCGCTGTTGCATCGTCAACGCACTCGCATTTGCCGTGAATCCCGTTTTTCTGGCAAGTAATGAATGTGGGAGGCTTCTACTCGCCCCGCTGGCCCCCCAGGACATGATGCAGATGCTTTCGGCCCTGCAGGATTCTCTCCTGGAGAACTCTTCCGGGTGGCCTCCCGCCCGAGACGAGGAGGAGGATGAGGAGGATGATAATGCGGATGATGATGATGATGATGATGATGATGATGATGATGATGATGATGATGAGGAGGAGGAGGAGGAGGAGGAGGAGGAGGAGGAGGAGGAGGAGGAAGGGGAGGAGGAGGAAGAGGAGGAGGAGGAGGAGGAGGAGGAGGAGGAGGACCAGTGTAAACGCAATATTCATCAACTATAGTGAAGTATACCCTTCTCCAAGCTCCCGCTTCGCAAGCCCCGTGCAAGTATTGATTTTCACGGAGGCAAACTTCCCCGTTAGTAGACAACCGTTTGACGATCTGGAGGTTTGCCAGAACGCCATTCCTGGGATTTCAACGCCGCGAGTCAACGCGACTGTTGCGCCCTGACGTCCCGTTATCGTGCCAAAACAGAAATTCTCGGGATGTTGACCATGAAAATATTTCAAATTGTTGCACACTCTCAAGACGAATGTGTTCGGCGCTCAGGCGAGAGACACATTTGGGAAACGAGCCGTCTTCAATCCGTGATGCGCTGGCGAACTTTGAAGGCGAATGTGCGCGTCGCAAAGGCGAGGGCCACATTTTGAAAACGGCCCACATTCCATCCGTGAGAATTTCGCATGTTTAAACTCTTTGTGCTCGGTGCAAATACGAGAGCCACATGTTAGAAACGGCCCGCCGCCCATCAGTGAAACTGTAACAATTTTATCATCAGGATCACAAGTGGTGAGCAAGTCTCAAGCGAAGCGCGCCCGGCCCGCCCTTTCGACCAGCCTCGGGGTTCGACAGGGAGCAGTCGTTAAGAAGGAAGAGGGATGGATGAAAACCAGCGTGAAAAGGGATGTCCGATCGAGGACCGAGCTTGTTGGACCTTTTGTTGGCCCTCTGGGCATCCGCCAGGAAGCTCAGGAGGAGGACGAGGAAGGAGGAGGGCGACGACGAGGGCGATGTTGATGATGGTGCTGCTGATGCTGATGATAGTGCTGCTGCTGATGCTGCTGCTGCTTATCACGAGGATGAGCACAGGGAGGAGCGGTTCGGGGAGAACACCTGCCGGCAGCAGCGGAGGAGGGTGAGGAAGAGCCTGGCGGGCGCCTGCGCCCCGATGATGAAGTCGATGATCGTGATGATGACCCTGATAATGGTGGTACTGATCATGACGACGACGATGATGATGATGATGATGACGATGATTATGATGATGATGATGACGATGATTATGATGATGATGCCGGAGATGCTGATGATAATGCTGATGCTGATGCTACTCGTAATGATTATGACCGCGGAAATGATGATGCTGATGGTGATGATGATGATGATGATCATCATCATGATCATGACGATCATGAAACGATGGTGATGCTGATTCTGATTACGATGATGATGACGTGTTGCTGTCGGCGATGAATCTGGTTACGATGGTGCTTTCCGTTATGATGATGGTGATGGCGACGACGATTACGATACTCTTGGTGACCATGTTGGTGGTTGTGCGGACGATGAGGACGATAAGGATAGCGCGGGCGACGATGATGATGATGTCGACTGTCGTGATGGTGACCCTGTCACTGATGATAACGAGACTGGTACTGATCATGGTGATGACGATAATGACGATGACGACGAATCTGATACTATTTATGATGATGATGATGATGATGATGATGATGATGATGATGATGATGATGATGATGATGATAATGGTGGTGATGATGATGATGATGACGATGGTGATCATGATGACCACGACGATTATGCAATCGTAACGACGACGATGGCGATGATGCTGATGATGCTGATGATGGTGGTGGTGATGATGATGATGATGACGGTGATGCTGATGCAGATGTCGATGCTGAGCTGATGACGATGCAGATGCTTATGATGATGACAATGATGATGCTGATGATGCCGCTGATGATGATGATGATGATGATGATGATGATGATGATGATGCTGATGCTGATGCTGATGTTGATGATGATGGTGATACTGGTGATGCTGATGGTGATGGTCATGATGCTGACGCTGATCCTGATTTTGATGCTGATGACGACGACGATGACGACGGAGAGGACGATTTTTGATGATGATGATGATGCTGATTTCCGGTGACGATACTGATGAGGATGATGATGCTGCTGATGATGATGATGATGATGATATTGATACTGATGATGATGATGATGATGCTGATGCTGATGACGATGATGATGATGATTGTGATTGTGATGATGATGATGATGATGATGATGATGATGATGATGATGATGATGATGATGGTGGTGGTGATGATGTGATGATGATGATGATGCTGATGATGATGATGATGATGATGTTGATGTTGATGCTGTTGATGATCAGGATTGTGAGGTACCAGGTCGTCGTTCATAGCGATTCTGAAACTGCTACTGGTAATGCTGAGTGTGACAGCGGCGACGATGACGATCATCATGGTGATCACGATTGTGGTGGTGATGATGACGATGCTGATGCTGACGAGGCCGTGGAGGATGAGGGGGATGAGGGTTATAAGGATGAGGGTTAGGATGATGCTGCTGCTGCTGCTTCTGCTGCTGCTGCTGAGGAGGAGGATGAGGAGGCGGAATAGGAGGAGGATTAGGACTCGCGCGGGAGGACGTGGACGCTTCAATACCTGACGCGAGGAGAAAGGGAGAAAGGTCTGTTTCCTTTTCTGGGTGGGGCTGGGGAGGGGGTGGGGGGGTGGGGGGGGCGTGCGCGAGTGAGCGTGTGCGATGGAGAGAGCGATATATAGAGAGAGAGAGAGAGAGATAGAGATCGATCTATAGAGGGAGAGAGAGATATAGAGAGAGAGAGAGAGAGAGAGAGAGAACGATAGAGGGAGAGAGAGAGCGACTTAGATCTAGAGCGCGATGGAGAAAGACAGAGAGAGAGAGAGAGAGAGAGAGATAGAGAGAGATAGAGAGATAGAGAGAGAGGGACATAACGAGATAGGGAGGTGGTGACAGAGAGAGAGAGAGTGTGAGAGAGACATATATATATATATATATATATATATAAAGTTCACGCGCGGGGCAGGTATACGGGGGATGACGGACTGGTGATCGGGCAGGACAGCCATGGCGGGCAGGATGCTTGTGTGCAGCTTCAGAAGTAGGATGGTGGCCATGGGGACACGGATGGGGTGGACGAGGAGGAGCTGGAAGCCTATGCCACCCGCAGCCGAGTAGTACCGCTCTTTGTGCGCGACGCGCGGACACAGGATGCCCAGAGTGGCAGGGAGCTGGCTCTCGCTAGTCCGAGGGCAGCGCGCAGGAAGGCGGGCCATGATGGGCACGTGGCCGCGGCTGTTCGCGTCCCCCCTCGCTCCTCTCGTGGCTGGATGGGCGCGGTGCGGGCGCGGAGGCGGAGGGGGAGGCTGAGGAGGAGGGGGGCGGGGTGGGCGGAGGGGGGGGGGGGGGGGGCGGAGGGGGGGGCCGACGAGGCGGAGGGAGGCGGGAGGAGGGAAACGAGGGGAGGGAGGGGGATTTGGAGGGGGAGGGGATGGGGGGGGGGGGGGAAGGGGAGGAGGAGGAGGAAGATGAGGAGGAAGATGAGGATGAGGAGGAGCAGGATAGTGACGCGATGGAGGATGCACATGTAGAATGGCGGGGGGATGCAATGCTCATGGAGACGATGATGATGACCACGACGACCACCACGACCACGAATACGACGATTAATGTCATGCTGAGGAGGAGGGCGAGGAGTGAGGGGAGGAAGAGGATGTGTACATAAGGAGGTAGGGTTGGAGCAGGGGGACAGGAGGCGGTGGATGCTGCTGATGATGATGATGATGCTGATGATGATGATGATGCTGCTGATAATGATGATGACGATGATGATGAGGCTGCTGTTGATGATGTTTCTAGCGCTGCTGCTGATGATGATGATGATGATGATGACGACGATGCTGATGATGATGGTGGTGATGCTGCGGCTGATGATTATTTTGACGATGATAATGATGATGATGATGAGGAGGAGGAGAATGACGAGGATGAGGAGGATGACGAGGAGGATGATGAGGAGGACGAGGGAGGTGAGACGATGCGGATGATGATAATGATACTGAGGATGACGATGATGATGATGATGAGGATGATGATGATGATGATGATGATGATGATGCTGATGATGATGATGATGATGATGATGATGAGGATGATGACGATGACGATGATGATGAGGGTAGTGGTGGTGGTGGTGGTGGTGGTGGTGGTGGTAGTGGCTGTGATGCTGATGATGATGATGATGCTGATGCTGATGCTGATGATGATGCTGATGCTGAGGTTGATGATGCTGTTGCTGATGATGAATATGATGCTGATTATGATGATGATGCTGCTGCTGATGATGGTGATGATGATGCTGACGATGATGACGATGATGATGATGATGCTGATGATGATGATGACCATGATGATGATGATGATGATGATGATGACGATGATGATGATGATGATGATGATGATGATGATGACGATGATGCTGATGATGATGATGATGATGATGATTGATGATGATGCTGATGATGATGCTGATGATGATGAGATGATGATGGATGATGATGATGATGATGATGATGATGATGATGATGATGATGATGATGATGATGATGATGATGATGATGATGATGATGATGACGATGACGACGATGATGATGATGATGATGATGATGTATGATGATGATGATGATGATGATGATGATGATGATGATGATGATGATGATGAGGAGGAGGAGGAGGAGGAGGAGGAGGAGGAGGAGGAGGAGGGGGAGAAGGGGAAGGAGGAGGAGGAGGAGTATGAGGAAGTGGAGGAGGAGGAGAATGAGGAGGAGGGAGGTGAGACGATGTGGAGGAGGATGAGGAGGAGGGGGGGTAGAGGAGAAGGGGTGGACGAGGAGGAAGAGGCCGACTTCGATGGCAGCGACAGAGAGGCTGGAGGCGCGACGGGTCCCGTGCGCTCGGCTGTCGGGGTGTTCCCCCGTCGCAGGTTCCAGGAGAACATCGATGCGAGCATCGGGGAGATGCAGGCTGCGATCGTCGTCGCCGTCATTGTGGCAGTTGCTCCCATAGAGCGCCCACGCAGCGACCGAGCAAAGGGGGAGGGGTGGTCCCCCCTTAGCTGCCCCTCCGCTCTTGGACCTTCCCTGCCCGAAGCTCTCTCGCCCCCACTCCCCCCTATTTTTTTCCGCCCTGCATCGGCTGCGGGGACGGAGGACACATCGAGGGTCGGGCTCCGAGGATCGATGATCGGGGGTCGTGGAGGTGGCAGGATCGGGTTTCTGTTTTCCCAGCCGTCCTGTGGTGTTGTGCCGTCGTTTTGAACGGACAGCGCCATGCGTCTCCCACCTTCCCCTGGGTACACATCCTCTCCTTGCCTCTGCCCTCCGCATCCCAACTAGCCCGTGGTGTTGGGTCCTCGCTTTGAGCCAGCAGTTTTGCGCCACTCCCTCCTCCCGCTTCCCCTCATCCTCTCTCTCCTCCTCAGCGCACCCCCCAATCATTTTGTGACCCTATGGGGAGCTCCACCGAAGGCCCCAGTGAGAAAGTCTGCATGCGTCCCCGCCGCCCGTTTCGGCATGCCCTCGCTCGTTTCGTGGCCCCATGGTAGGCTCCACAGATAACCCCAGGGGGCAAGTTCGCACGCGTCCCCGTCGCCCATCTCGGCCCCGTCCTCACACGTTTTGCGACCCCGTAGGGCGCTTCACCGAAAGCCGTGCGTGCGTGGCCCGATAGGGAGCCCCATCGAGGGCCCAAGTGGCACAGGGTGCATGGCGTCAGTCCCTCGCACATTTCGGCGCACCCCTCCCACGCTTCGTGGCCCCATCGGGGGCTCCACCGAAGGCGATACTCTCAGCCGCGGTGCTCACGACTGCATACGGTTGGATCCTTCGGCAGGAGATCGATTTCGGTTTTGTGTTCGTGTCGTGCGTGCGAGCGAGGCGAAGCTGCGTCGGCGCGCGAGAGGAATGGCGATTCGGACGCAGTGGGCCGCCCCTCCCCCCCCGGTGGGCGCGCGGTGGCCCGGGGTGTCCCGCCGTCGTCCTGAGGTGTCCCGCTGGTGTCCCGTTGGTGTCCCGTCGGTGTTCAGTCGGTGGTGGGCGGGCGGCGGCCGAGGGTGTCCCGCCTTGGTATCGATTATGAAGTCGATGGTAAGATCGATAATGAGATCGCTAGAATGGGATGGATAATGAGATCAAGAGTGAGATCGACGGTAAGGTTGATTGTGACATTGGTTGTCAGATCGATAGTGAGATCGATAGTGAGATCGATAGAGGAATCGATAGTGATTTCGATAGTGATTTTGAGAGTAAAATGGAGTTTATTGTAGAGGCCTCCGGCCGGTGCCGCCGATCCGGGACGATCCCGCTGTCAGAAGGACGCTTTTGCCCCAGCGCGCTTGTTCAAACGTAGGTGGTTTGGAAACAGCTTGGAGGCATTGCGTGGGCTTTTTGAGGGGCCTCTACGACGCATCTTCGAGGCTTCCTGGGGGGGCGTCTTGGAGGTGATTATTGAGCCTCTTGGGGGCCTTTTGGGCTTCTTGGGGGGCATGCAGGAGGTCTCCTGGAGGCCTCCTGGGGGTGTGTAGGAGGTAATTTTTCAGCCTTCGGGAGCGCTTTTGGGCGCCTTTTGGGGGCCTCTTGAGGGCCACTTGGAGCCTCTCGGGGTTCTTGGGGACTCCTAGGGCCATTTTGGTGTCTCCTGGGCGCCTCTTGGGCCGTCTTGGGCTCTTTGGGGCCGTCATGGGGGCCTGTTGGGCGCTTCTTGGGCCCGTCCTGGGGCCCGCTTAGGCTGTCTTGGGGGCCTCCCGGGCCGTCTTGGGCCCTTCTTGGGCCGACTTGGGGCCCTCTTGAGAGCCTCTGGGCCTGTTTTGGGGGTCTCTTGGGCCGTGTTGGACACTGCGAAGGCCGAAGAAGCGAAAATGCAAAAAAT